CAAACCCAAGCCCCCCTTCCTCACCTGCCTCTACCTCGCCTACTCCTACATGGGCAACGAGATCTCTTACCCGCTCAAGCCCTTCCTCGTGGAGCCCGACAAGGAGCGCTTCTGGCAGCGCTGCCTGCGCCTCATCCAGCGGCTCAGCCCGCAGATGCTACGGCTCAACGCCGACCCCCACTTCTTCACGCAAGTCTTTCAAGACCTCAAGAACGAGGGCGAGGCCGCGGCAAGCACCGGGGGTCCACCGAGCGGAGGCGCGTCCACCACCTCCTCCTCCTCGACCGCCAGGGACAGCTGCGCGGCCGGAGCCAAGCATTGGACTATGAACTTGGACCGCTAGGGATTCCCAGGGGCCGCGCCCGCCCCCCGCCCCAGCCCCTCACACACACCCGGAACCCACGGGACCATCAAGCCTCTGCCACTGGTACCGCCGCTCTACGCCCAAGCTGGGCCGAGGAGGAGCCGCCCCTGCCCCGCAGGGGAAGGTGGAGGCTAGGACACCAGAGGCCTCAGGGCCTGGATTTGCTGGGCATGGGGTGGGCGTGGGGGATGATCGCGGGAAGGGCACCCCCAACTTCGTTCACCCTTTCCGTCTGTCTGCGCCTCCATCTTTCCATTTCTGCCTGGGTCTCCCTCTTCTGCCGTGGGCGTCTCGAAGTCCACCGCCCTGGGTTTTGCCATTTTCTCACCTTTCTGTGTCTTCATCCTTCTTATGTCCTCAGCCCCCTCTCCCTGCCTTTCCATTGGTTTCCCTGGGCTTTTCCCTTCTCCATCTTACCCTGAGCCTGATGGTACCCAATTGCCCTCCCTGCTTCTCCCGCATCCGTGTTTCTGTGGACCCTTCTTGTTCTTATTCCTTCCTCTTGTCATATGTCACCACCTTCCCCTCTGTCTGCTTCTCCTCTCTGCTTGGGTCATCCTGCTTCCCTTCCCCCCTCCCCGAGATTCTACACTCCTCTCCCCAGATCAAAAAGACCCTTAGTTTTTTATTTGGATGGACTGAAGTGTGACAAGAATCTGCAGTCCCAGGTGCCCAGGCAGAGATCAGGGTGGTCCTTTCCCTCGCCCCCACAGCCTCTCCCTCCTTTCCAACGTGTTGCATGCTGGGAGTTGAGGGGAAAGGGCTGCTGCCTTCATTCAGGAGGCTGAGATTTGAGGGCAAGATCTAACCTGGTAGACTACCTCGCTTGCAGCGGTGGTGTCATCTCTGTGGATGGGTAGAAAGAGAAAGAAACCTCTTCTTATTCTGGGGGAGGGGCGTCCTCTTCCTTATCCTTAGATTTCTTGTTATATCCCCTCCCCACACTTTAATTTATTTCTCTCTTTCAGGAGGGAGGGTGGGTGGGTGGGTGGGGG